GAGAGAGAGAGAGAGAGAGAGAGACGGAAAGTAATGCCTTAAGCCGAATTAAGCTGCGGCTTAAACGACGGCCACGATGCCGCAAGCGCGTCTCTACCTCTCTCACTTAGCCTCGGGCAAGACTAACGAAATCGTTCACGACGTTCGCGAATTTGTCTCAATCGGCGCGATTAGTTCCAAACCCGAGCTAAATCGCCTTCGACCGAATCCTGAATTTTTTTTCGGATTATAAATTACGTTAGAGAAAAGCTGTGAATTTTTCTAATAATAAAAAAAAAAAAAAAAAAATTACTAAATATATTACATCGTCCAATTTTTCATTTAAGTCCATATTTAAATAACAATATACGTGATACACCCAAACTTGCCATGATGAGAAACAATATCATATATCGGTCTTACACATTCGATAATATTTATCGAAAACGTGAAAACAAAAAAGCTATGCAGCCAGCTTTTACGCGCTGCGCGCGTAATCGATAAAAATTTTACGGTTCGCATCAGATTTACGATTCTGACGCAACTTAGATAGGACGCGTATTATCGCGATAACTTCCGATTCCGATTTACGAAAGGGAGGGTCCGCGAAATTCCAGAAAACGTCAATCCCAAGCGGAATTATGGCGCCCAACATAGTAGTTAACCGTATTCCTTCCCCGAGCACCGGCCACCTCTTCCTCCCGAAAGAGAAAAGAAGAGAGGGTGTACGCGGGAGAAAAGAAGCGAAGATTTATTCCAGAATTAAATACCTCGAACAAATACACCCTCGACTCGTCAGCGATCCCTTTTTCTTTCCGATTCATCCCTTGACCTCGTTTCCCCCGGATCATACTTTCCGACTTCATTGACCCGTTAAGCCGATTTAAAACGCTCCGCCTTTAACCCCTCGAGAGCCGTGTTTTATGTCTCACTCCCGTCTCGCTATCGGCATATCGGAGAATTTAATCTCTTTATTTCCGAGTTTTCGTTGTAAGCGCGAAATAACGAGAGATAGTTTTTGTGTGTCAACCGATCGACATTCCTCATTTAATAATTCGCAATGTTTTTCACGATATGATACACATTGGTCATAAATATATTTACTTAAATGTTAATTTTATTCTATGCTGCGAAT